TCCCTGAGTGGGCTGACTACACCCTGACAAGCTGTTTAAGTTGAACTTGAAGAGTTTATTTCCAAAGTGCTATACAGTATATCCGCTTTGAAGGAGAAAAACATCATCACCTCAAGTTCATCATCCAGTGTCTTTTAAATGTTGCGGAGTATTCAGTTCGTGACAGTGTTTGCATTTCATCAACGTCAGACTTTTTTTTTAACAATAAATGTCATATTTTACAAAGAAAATCACTTTTCTGCAAAGCTTTTACACACAAATCAATTATACAGTACCAAAAAAATCAAACGTGGTACTTCTTTATGCTCATCATAACTTACTGTAGGTATCTAAAGACAAACTGAAAACACTTTTTTTCAAGAAATGTTCTCCTTAGATCACGGAAATGAGAATTGATGAGCAAATTCCTGCTCTCAAGTATATACTTTTGATTTTAAAGGAATAATAATAATATATAAAATATACATTTTGAGAAACATGCTTATCAGCTTTTTTTGCAAAGAGATAAACATATCTAAACATCAATGTTCTCATCTAACTATCAAATAAGTGTATTTCTCAAAAAGTGCAACTATCCATTTCATGAGCCCATGACTAATTTTGAGCAGGTAGTTTTGTACAGTTATTGACTTTCCCACCAAGATGAATTTAAATAATAAAGTGGTGTGTACAGTATACAAACCATTTATGGCTGGCTTGAAATGTCAGATAATGCAGTATACATGGCACTCATATTTATAGTCATGCTATGTATAAGGTATTTCATATCATAAACATTACGTGTTGTGGAAAAGCTTTTAAGTCTACATGCAGAGTGCTGTTAGTGTACTGCATTATTTAAAACATTCCTTTCATGATAGGATCTAGCCATGCAGATAGTTTTGGATTCATGTGCTGATGTTTTGAGATATCTATCTCTGAGATTTCTGCTGTCCACCTAGTACCCGGGAAATGAATGGAATTCACTTGGAGAGTTTTCATTGGAACTACTTTCCTACTGTAAAAACAGTCCCAATATAAACTGTAAACAGCGAGGTCTGTGGATTATCCTCACAAACCGAGGCACTGTTCCCATAAAGACGTATTGCTGTTGAGTTTTTCATTTTTCAATACTTTGCCCACCACAAACACACTTTAATAGCCCTCCATTGTGTGCAATTGTTTCTGCACCACTGCAAATAAAACCAAAGCTATGTATGTCTATGCAAGAAAATGTGTTTGTTTTGTGTGTGTGTGTGTGTGTGTGTGTGTGTGTGTGTGTGTGTCTTCTTCTCTTTTAGCTCTTTGCTTTATGCCTTTGTACCCTTGCACCCTGTTATACCTTTGGCCTGCATTGCGTCTTGACCCAACATCCTGTTGGAACTGGAAACATTAACATTAAAGATGGAGGTTGGAAATGTAACTTGTAGCTCAGGATGAAGAGTGGGTTGTGTTGGCGGTTTGGTCCCCAGCTCCTTCTGTCCAGGAAACTGAACCAGTGCAATGGGTGAAGGAGAGATATGCAGTTTAGTAATATAATCTAGCATTCTTTAGCATCTTTTTCTCTTTATGTGCTCATGAACATCTAGACAGCTAGAAATACAATGAACTGTGGAAACCAAAGCTGAGGATTTCCATCTCTCCGTTTCTCTCTTTATCCTGTGTTCTATGAAGCATTGCAGTTGCCATGACAACCAAGGCCTTCCCTTGTTTTAAAGATGCTCACTATGGTGACCAAGGCGTTGTTGTACTGTGGGCAGGTCTGAGAGAGGGAAAGATGGTTTTTCACACATACTAATAAAGTACACTTACAGGTACACGCACACAAAACCCACCCACACATATGTGCACATCCACAGTGGTTAAATGATGTGATGAAACCTCTGATGCATGCTGAGCCCTTCAGGGTCTGACATATAAATTGAGCTGAATAAAACAGAGTGAAGGTTAAATATAGAGGAGCCACACCCCCCTTTAAAATCAATGCTCCGTTTCCTGAGGGCTGTATAATTACACACTTCTACCTGCAGCATGCGGATGAAACATCAGAAAATATGTCTTGTAGTCATCCGAGGGAAGTACAGCACTGTAAAAATATTGTTAAAAGCTTTCTTAGAATCTAAAAGTGAGTCTCTTCTTCTGAAACTCTTGTAGTACTACACTACCCACAATTCACACAGTGGAATTGCTTTTGTGATAACTCACATCCCTCAGGCAGCAGTGGCTGCACAGTACAGTACAACCTTGAGTGTGCTATTGTGTAAACAACAGTTAATACAAATTGAGTTTTGTTTTTAATTTTTTATTTCTTGGCGTTACACCAAAAAATTGTTTCTTGTTGCTAGGCAACATCCTGCTGCATCCTTCCTGCTCACATATACCTGGACAAGTTTATCAATGTCAAGCTCTGACACTGTTGGGTTAAAGATGCATTAATGCACCTTTGGTCACTGGGGGGCAGAATAACACCCATACGTACCGTATTGTTGCCTTATAAAGTTAATTTGGCTGATGTGTCATTTTACGCATTCAGCAGACACACAGAACCACATTGGAGTTGGCTCTGGCCGTCGCCTTCTTGGCAGTCCTGAGCCGGCTCCTGGATAATCCAGTAATGGGCAAAGATGTGGAGTGTGGGAGCTGAGGTGGGCCGAATGATGCCTGGTTAACAGCTGCCTGTGACAGCACCCACCTGTTACTCACTGTGACCATTCTCTTAATTATGCATACATTTAGTCTTAATATAATTAAAATGGGTGAGTTATATAAAAAAAAACATCCCCCGTACAGTTGTCATCAACTGGGAATGTAGCTATAGAAACGAAAACTGTTCTTTCTACCAGGCTGTAAATTTGCTTAATATGTTTATGGGGACTGACTGTTGGCTTAATTTCACAGAGGCTACTGTTACTTGATGAGAGCTGTGAGACTGAACCGAAACAGTAAAGTTGCCGGCCTTAGAATCAAAAAGATTTACACATTTTACACAGTCCTTTTTCCCATTATATATACATAAATATTGATTAGTGCAGCTTTAATATTTCTGTAGGATTCGCATATTTACATATTTATGTTTGTGTTGGGTCAGAGTCTAGTAAGAGTGCAATACTCCATATTTGTGAGTCACATATACTCTGTAGTATAAAGGTAAACAGTGGGACTATGCTCGTACAATATAACAGTGATGGGAAATCTATTTCTTTAAGACAACTTAGTCATGTTTGTTCAATCCATCAACCTGTTATTCTGCAGGTAAATCCCTCTCCTGGTAGAACTACCCATCGCTGGATCCCAGACAGATTGGCTCTAGTAGGCATGACTTCCTACCTATATAAATATGTGCAGGCAGTCAAAGTTTTTGCTGAAAACATCCTGAAGAAGATTTAAAATCATATCCACAGGTAAGAGGTAGAATGAGGATCGATATGAGGAAAGATGGGTTTTCATTGGGAGGACAACGCCCCCTTCTGGTTTAATTAATTGTGTGAAAAAACTCTCTCAAGGTGGAGCACAGAGGTAAAGACACAAAATTCAGATGATTTCCTTTTTTCAGAGCAAATGTACACTGCCCAGCACAGCGTTGCGGAGATGGACTATCAATGAGCAGGTGTGTTTAAAGGTGTGGTGGATGCAGGCAGGCAGAGACCTGCGGCAGATGAGAGATTTGACATTCCACCTTAAGAATGTAAGAAATCACACTGGTAGCAGATTAGCATCAGCCTGCCAGTGGTCTGGTATGCAGCACTGTCTCAGATTGGGAAACAAATGTGAAGCACAGGACAAACTGTGTGCACGTTCCAGGGTTTAGGGGAGTCATAGAGGGTCAGAGGTTGACTGATCTGTGGTTTTGAAGGTAAACATTGAACCTGAATAACCCCTCTTCAAGAATAATTGAAATCTACATACACTTTATGAAGTGAATTTGTAGTGAGCGTGGTAGTAAATTGTATTGAACTGGCATAAGATGAAGATGGGATCATTTCCAGTAGAAGCATCATATAATGTTCTGTAATGCTGTGTTTTTATCTCTAAATCACTAGATAAATCAACTGCTGTTGAATGCAGTCAGGGTCATCCACAGTCTTTAAAGTCTTTTATTAAACTTGTCATTGCTTTATTTTCTTACTGTGATTTCAGCTGCAAGAACAACAAATGGAATGATGAGGAATGAATCAAACATGATGGTGAGGCTTTAATTCACTGACTTGTTCAGAGATAAAGCACTTACATTATTAACTGCGATGACAAGTCTGGTGGATGAAGCTCTTTACTTTACTTTGTACACAATCCTCTGACAATATCAGAAAATGATATGCAGCAGATAGCAGCAGATGCTTATTAAATTAGAACCGTTTACCCATTGTAAATTATAAGTCAGTGTTATGTAGCCTGTTTCATTGCCACCAAGTGGACAAATTCAGGTTTTAAAATTATTGACTAATAATGATGTTTAAGATATAAAAATAATCATCTCCATGAACATACTTCTAAACTTCAAGTATTTGTTTCCCTTAAAGCTGTATAAACTATTTTGGAAATTACATTTTCAGTTTGACAGGCACATTCAGACACACAGTCGTCTCACAAATATCTAAGCCATGATGCCGTTGTTTGAAAAGTAATAATGTGTGTGTGCAGTGACATATTCACGACTGAATGTGTTTCATATTACCTCTGTAACATTAGTGCTGAACGCAATTAACTTGAAAGCTTGACGTGAAGTGGGCAGCAGATGAAAGGCAGCGCTGGAGTCCAGCAGGTTTCCCTCTCTGTGGCCTCGTGTTGCCAGTTAGCTTTTAACACCGTGAGCTTCATGCCAAGAGGAATAAAATACAGTAGTAATCCAAGATGAAGGGATTTTGGGATTATCACCACATATTCTCAAAGTTGCGTGTTTCAAACAGGACTTTTTAAAAGTAGAGCAAGAGCCAGGACGTTTTCTACAGTGACCATAAATGGAGAAAAACCATTCAAATCCTCTCTCTGCAGATGACTGATAGAAACTGGAATGCACAACCAGGTATAATAAAAATTGTTACTTTTAATAACAGAAATCTTGATTTTTTTTTCAGACAAAAAGAACAAAAATACAGAAAGCAAAAATAATCTTAATACTAATAAATTACAGAAACACATGAGATGCATCACACTTCTCACAAATAAGCAGCCAGACATTAAGATCACATAACGACCAAATTTACACACCTGAGGCACACAGGAGGGGTTGGTTTCCATGCCACATTTACACCGATATACAGAACGTTAATACACTTAAAATACCATATAATACCATCCACCATTCAGCTGAGAGGAGGGAACACAGTGGACTGAAAGATCGGCTAATAAACCCGTGCACTGACATTATATCTCTCATTTACAAACGGCACATTTAAAGTGGACTTGATTTCCCTTGCAGTATTAGCTGTATTTAATGGCAAGTCTCTGTGGCTGCATATTCGGTTCAGTGTTAGCCTGTGTATCAGTTCAACACAGCTTAAGCTGAGCCTTTGACTCAACCTCGTCATGACTGAAAGTAAAAGAAATGCTTAACATAGCGGAGTATTGCCTTTTCTCCTAATTATATGTAATGTTTAACTAAAATTAAGTGCTGAAAGAAAAAAATTGGGTGAAGTGATGCAACTCCGTCTTACAACATTTTGTGAAATGAGCACAAACTCTGTGGATTCAGCATCTGTGACATCAACAACGGGTTTTTAAAACTATGTTTAAAAGGTAGGAGCTTTCGGAGTTGAGGCCGTGATAGGCTGGAGCAGCTGTCAATCAACCAAGAGAACTTAAAGGATCTCTCTCTGCCCAGACTCTGGCTCTGAATGGTGAAAGATGGCAGCGGCAGTATCTGGGATATTTTGGCTTCACATTTGTACAGTAGAAAGAAGCGGAGACGTGGCGTCCATCTTTTATTTGTCGATGGTTGTGACATGCAAAGCACTCACATGTCCATCATTGCTGCCTATGATTGGAAAATGTAGACTCCGATCTTCCTGAGGTTGATGTCACAGACACTACATGGTTGTTTTGCTACAGTCCATGTATCAGATGACTCCCCTTTCTTGCATGAATATGCTCTTAATCTAAAACACTGCTTATTTCACAAAATCTTGTCCAGTACTACCACTCTATAGTCAGTTTCTGCAGAGCACTGCTGAACTTGAGGTAGTAAACTTTACAGTTTGAATTGACAAATGAAAAACATCAGTGGTGTGTTAAGCTATAGCAGCTGAATGAGAAAATGTATCTGGCCCTAAATAAAATGGCTGTATGAATGGCATCAACTGGATCCTATGTTGTTTTTTTAAAAAACCCAAATTGCAGTAAAACTGAGAAAAGTGACATCAAAGTTAATCTTTCATCCTGACATAAGTGTGATATGATTTCTCTTGATTTTAACTCAAAAACAGTTCCTACTGTGTGCCTCTGCAGGGCAGGACAGGCCTTCTGATGTCTTTAAGTTAACGGACACAGTGATTTAAGTTCATATTTCAGTTTATCAGTGACGTCACAGCCATTATTGCGTGGCACATAAGGGATAGTAAATCCTCATGGTTTGGTTATGGCTTATCACACTGCAGTATTACATACTAAGTGGTAGGCGTATTTACAATAAAGACAAAACAATATGATTTAAACCTTCAAGGGGTCTCACAATGAAATGTTAATTTGGTCCATTTTGACACAGTGCCAAAGGAGATGAAACGCCTGCAAAACCGCTCAATGACGAGACAGATAAAGCAGATCAGGGTTTCACTTTCACAAACAATCCTCGGAGGCAGAATTATTACAATGACTGCTAATAAAGGAAGATATCACTGGCACAGATTTCACGATGTTGGAAGGCTAACTGACCATTCACTTAACCCCTATTTTTTTTTAACACCCCCCCCTTTTTTTTTTTTTTTTTGCCTTTCCAAAAACAAAAGTACACAACCAATAAAGTAAGGAATGGATGAAACAGTGTGTTTGTTAGCTCTCACGTAAGCAGCTAATGTTAGCACGTCCACCCACTGGCGGACTGGTGAGGCCGCTGACTTTTTGCCTGCGGTCTGATAGCTTTAGCTTCAGTGTTCTGGCTCAATATTGTGTACGTCGCCATTAAGTACATATTTAAGACCCGTTTAAAACATTCTTGTTTTAAACCGAGTCAGCTGGAAACATTAAGAAGTCAGGTAGAGACAGCGTTTTCAACCAACTCAGCGAGCTAACGTTTAGCGCTTCATTAGTTAGCTAGGTATATATTGGACAGCTCGACAGGTAGCGACAGTGACTAAGAGGGGTGGGCTCAGCAAATGGTCCGTTAACTAACTAACAGCTGATTCTCTGGTTCCACACGCTGATGATAAATGCAACCAGTTAGATTGTTTTCCCCTCCGGAGCGACTGTTTGCAGAAGTAAAACTACAACCCCGATCATCGCTAAGTACGATTGTTGGTAATGAGCACTGTATTTAGTCAAGCTGATGTATGTTGAGCTTTTGTAGCACGATGGACAAACAATGTTAGTTTTTCAGGTTTCTGACAGTGAGACTGGCTCGGTAAAAAAAAAATAAAAATAAAAATAACAGCTTCTTTAAAACTTATCAAAATGATTATTGCAAAAATGGGCAGTTTTTTTTGTGGTAGTGGTAGATTATTAACCATGATGGCAAACTTACAACTTTACACACACATACACACCCACACATCACTATGTTATACAGCTTCATGCATTTAAATAAATCTCCCCTCAAAATGGGTATTATTATTATTATTATTATTATTATTATTATTATTATCATCATTATTAATATTATTATGAAAGAAAAAGAAAAACGTTGGAATCATGACAGGTCCATTTTAACTACTGCATACTGCCCATAGATGTCCTATTTGTAAAAACCCACTGCAGTCGCATTAATGTTTCTGTTTGGGGTATTTAGACAAAAACAGGATGGAATATGGATTGCAATTTTAGTTTTTGTCCAGGCCCCAATAAATGAAATGGTAGAAAGAAACACATATAGGCTTATTCAGTTTGTAGCGCAGATTATTTCGGAACCAACTACAAGACGGTTCGATCATTTCCTGCACAAAGAGACATTTTCAGATTATTTGATTGTGATTGTGCGCTGCATGGAAAGCCAAATATACAGTCAATCTCTTCCTGTAAGCCTGATGCATCAAACTGTTGCACCGTGGAGGGTCTCACTTACCAGAAATGTAATTTGATGCTAATTATAAAGAAAACTGACAGCATTTAGTTTGCACACTTTCAAATAGGTAAAAAAAAAAAAAAAGAAATAGAAGCATAAACTTTTATTCTTCTTCTATTAGTTTTTAGCTAGAACATTTGAGCCTACAGATAGGTTTCCATCAAATAAATGAATATTTCCATAGATTAAAACTATATAGATTTGTCAATGTTTTTAGTAATTAAACTGGAATGACACATCCCATCTTTAGAGCAGTTAAAGGAAATTCCTTTGGAAGAAAACAACGGCTTATAAACAAAAATATGTCCTGGTTCTGGATAACAATGCCATGATTACTTTCTCAAATCATAGTCTATATTTTCAGTGTGATTTACATCAAACTACATTGTCCTTTCCAGGAAACAGAATACTTAAAATCATGAGCTTGTGTTGGTTTTCTGTTAGAAAATACTAATTGGACTCTACGTACAACATTCACTAAACATTGACATGCAGCTCCAAAGCAGGATGAATGATGGAAGAGGATCTCTGCTTTGCTACCACTGCAGATGTTGCAAACACACCTTGTGACCAAAAAAAAAAAAAGGATTGATTAAACCGATCTAATATTGATTGTAGAGAATAAAAGACAATAAAGATTCAAAATGTGATGTTATACAACCAAACCTTTTCTGTCGCAGTCTCAAATTTAAGCACATTAAAAGTCTCAAACTATTACATCCTCACTGTTTGTCTTGACACATAGCAGTAATAGTTATGATACAAATCCCCCACAGGAAATACACCATAGTACTATTCACAAAGCACAAAACATTAAGAAGAAAAAAAGAATTGCAGGGGAAGATCTGGGCTGTGATGGAAGACGATGGCTGTAAGCCAGTACAGCGTTTGCACCTTGTGAAATCACAAGCTCAAAGGTTGGTTTGCTGTGTGACTGTTTTCTTGACCCAGTGCAGGGGGGACATTTTCTGTTTTTAGTAAAAAGCACTTTGGTAATGTTAGGTAAAGGAGTCACTAAGTAAGCCAATGTGTGTCTACAGCACATGGATGTCTGAGAAATGCGGCTGCTGGCAAGATGCTCAAAATCGCTGGTGAACCGTGAGGATTCAGTACATTTCTTAAGAGTTAACTGGAACAGTTTCAGAAAAGAATATTGCCGTAGACATCTGCAAACAGTTTGGAAGCTGTGAGTCAATTCAAATAATTCAAATAATTTAATTTTGTAAATAAAAGTATATAAAAAAACTAATCTGATGTGACCTAATAATGAGTAGTTTCACTGGCTGAACAAACAGAAGGCAGAATAACGACTATATACCAAGCAGTATGGGTTAGATTATAATTATTTACTGTAATTATTTACCTCTAGAAAGGCCAAGTCGCCATCAGCTGACTGCTGATCTCAGCCCTCGGGGGCATTCACATTTCATCACTGATGATTTTATCATTATTTATAATTATTTTTCAGCTTTAAACACCCCAAATTACAGCATCAAGAGGCCTCGTAATGTCTCAGTCCTCTTACATAATCGCTGCAGTGCTGTTATGGGTGTATAAGTGTGGATGTGAGGATGTGAGGAAAGATTGGAAATATCTTCTAATTATATGGACCTGTTTCTTCTTGACTGGCATGAACAGCAAAGAGGAAACGGTCCAAGACCATCAAGTAAAAATCGAGTAAATTTGGATGGCATTTGGTTTGATTCTGCACCTGCACTGACATCCATCTCTTAAAATCTCTGGTATGTGAATATGTCAGCTTTTACACGTTCTTCTAGTCAGCGTCCTACTGGCCTTTCTAGTGATAAAGTCCTGATAAGTGCGAGGAAAGCAGGTTGCACCAGGTGTTAAACTTCACAAACAGTGAGAAGGAAAGCGAAGGAACAGGAAGCTGAGGCTCTAAAGAGGACGGAGACTCCATAACAGATTAACCAGTCAGGATTTTTTTTTTTTTTCCGAACCTGACAACTGACATGAAGAGGAAGCTTGTGGGGAGGCCTTTAGTCGGAGAAGAGGCTGGCGAAGGACTGTCGGAGGCTGCGGATGGTCTCAGCTTTGGCCTCGTCGTCGGTCACGGTTCCTCGTAACGTCTCTGTGAAGGTGTTGGTCAGCGACTGGGATTTGCTGCGCAGTAAAGAGAACAGTTGTTTAATTTACTACTGTTTTCAGTGAAAGAGGAACGGGGAGAGGCCAGATGAAAATCAAAGCTGCTAGACTACAAACTGTAGTTTATTACCTACATCAACAGGGGCGGGACATTTTACTGGATGGAAACGTAATGAAATGCCTTTGGTGTAGTGTTTTCTAGTTTTAACAGACACATCACCCCAATTCTGTTGTCTCTGCATTGGCTCCCTGTTCGTTTTAGAATTGATTTTAAGATTTTACTGATCGCTGACACAAAGCTCGTCTGTCACATCATGTCTGGCCCTAAGCTACATGGCAGAAATGTTGACTTAGGTCCTCAGGTGGGGGCCCTTCTGGCTGTTTCAATGTCAAGGCTTAAATGTAAAGGTGACCGTGCATTTGCTATCAGGGCCCAGTGGCTTTGGAACGGTCCGCCTGAGGAGAGAAGGTTTGCAGAAACAGTGACCTCTTACAATGCATTTTTATAGACTTGCCTTCATGTGACGTCGTCTTTTAACTTTTTTTTTATTTTTTTTACTTCTGTTTCCTTTTATTTTCATAGCTTCTATTTTGCTCTTATTATTGTATTTTGGTATTCTGTATTTTTATATTTTTTTACATTTTGTGTATCACAACAATCATTTTTCTGTCCGTCAAAGCACTTTGTAAACTCTGTTATTAAAAGGTGCTATATAAATAAAGTTCTCATTATTATTATTATTATTATTTTGTCTGTCGTTTGGTGTTAACTGAAAGGAGATATCAGTACATAAGCTTGCAACATGTCTGATATATCCAAACTTGCAGTACTAGATAAAGCAATAAATTATTAGCTGGACTACTGATTATTAGTGTGACTGTTATGATTAAAAAATACATTGAAGGTAAACCTCTTCCTCCCTGACAAGAGCAAATATATAATACTTGAAATAGTCAAATTTAATTAATCTCATTCTGATGGTATCATGGAGCCTATCGGTGTGCTATTAATGGGAACCCAGTTTGTCTTACTTCAGCTGTGGTGACTGTTTCTGAGCTCCAGGCCCGGAGGAGGCAGGGATGGGACCAGGCTGGAAGGCCTGGCTGGGCGAGGTGGTGGCTGAACGGGCTCGCTGAGGTGAACCCTGGGCTGACTGGGAGGGAGAGGCGGAAGCAGAGCGGTGTCCCCCTGTAATAGGTATACGCAACTTACATGTAGATTAGTTGTTTTACAGTGTTTACTACCATAACACTGCTGCAGCCAGGAAACAAACAACAAAACAAAAACCTACCTCGTCTGGGCTGTGTGGTCTGTGGATGAAGGGACACAGAGTCATTACTGAGTCATGCACACGGACAAGTTGCTAAGCCCACATGGACTTGAAAGACACCAAAAATAGCGTTGCAGTGGTGAAACTTATTACATTGCAAACAAAGAACTTCCTCAGCCTCCTGTCTCGCGCTCAAAAAAAACTAAATCTGCCACAAAAAAGGTTCCCTTCCTAAAACACAGCTCAAGTTGCTCACAATCAAAGACATTTAACTAAAAACTATAGTCCCAAAAACATTGGTCTTTTCTCTTCAGGGAGACAAATAAACCTGCTTGTTTCTATGGCAATGTACCTGAACACAACTGCACACACAGAGATCTTTGACTCTTGGTTCAATTCTGCTTCACATAAGGCTCTACACTGTTTCATAGAAAGTCATGGTCATGGTAAAGTAAGAGAAGATGTTCAATTATATGTTTTCAACCATCAACATGAAAGTCTAAATGCAGTTTCATTTGAAGCCCATCCACACTTCAAATATCATTATGTTGACCTAAAAGTAGTCATGATTAAATATACTCTACTGTAATGGAATTAGCTAAAAAAAAAATACCAACCTTATTTCAATTCCCCCTGAGATTGCTAAAACAAATTCTGAGGACATAACCCCACTGGCCTCAATAGTATCTATGTGTGTGTGCTATACAGGGGTAATACCGGCAGTGACAACAGCAGCATTAGTTGTAGGACTAATGCAAATGAAAGTTTTAAAAAAAGAAATTAGGTACTGTACAAAAATTATGAGCGAGCAGAGGGGGTCAAAAAAGGGAGGGTGGGGAAGGTGGGGAGGCAGTGTATTGCAATTCTTTTAGCTGAAGCTACAGCAGGGTAGTAGTTCTCCATGTATATCTTATCTCCTATATCCTACCTATCTTCCTGTGTAATAAAGTTAATACTTTAATGCATAAATAGTTACATGAAAAAGGTGGAAGATCCCAGTAACAACAACAATAAAACAATTCATAATGCTGTGGTCAGATAGAGTCCAGGTATTGCAACAAAGGTCCCCCAAGATTCTCCCCATTTCTGCTGACATTGCAATTTCTCCATGTAAATAACTGAAACAAGTTAATTCAACCAGATTCTGAAGCACGGTGCAGCAGGAGTCTTCCAGCCTTATGTTATTTTGCCAGTACCATGCCCATCAATAGAGCTGTTTGAATGAGTGGGAGGAGAGTTACCAGGTTTGTGTACATTACAAGTTGCATTAAGATCTTAAAGTCTTGTATTATTTTGACATGTTGTAGGGAGGGCGTTTCAGTTTTTTCTAAGTCAAGCGGAAGGTTCAAAGAAAACAACATGGATGTTTTAAGGAGAACTGGATACCATGATCAAAGACAATGCTGCTGTATCATTACCAGGTCTAGCAATATTAGCAGTAATTGTATAAGAAGCAATAGTAGCAGTAACAGTAATAATATCAGTGATGGTATTAATAATGATACATGTGGCTGTAAATAATGTTTATTAGAGTAGTATAAGAATGGTAGCAATTTTATTATAATAGCAAATTTATTTTGATTAATAGTACTAGCATTAACAACGGTATTAGCAGTAGTAACAACAGTTATGTTTATAGTTACAATAATGGTAGTAACAGACACAGAAACAGTAGCACTTGTACATTAAGAAGTAATATAAGTAGTAGCAGTAGCAGTAGTAACTGCAGTACCAACCGTACTGTTAATAACACATTATTAGCATTAATATTAATTAACTATGTATGTAAAAGTAATGTGTCAGACATAACGCACTGACGTACCTTGACAGAGGAAGGCTGAGGTGTGGAAACTCCCAGCAGCACCTGGGCCATCTTGTTGATGATCAGCTCTGTGATCAGCTGTCTATCTTCCTCCACATGCTCACCAATCAGAGGCATGGAGCTGTCCATCACCTGCAGAGACAGAAAAACAGCCAATCAGGGGCCTGGATGGCTGATTCAGCAGGAAACCACAGAACTGAAGCTTTAAAATTCATCCACTAGATGGCAGTATTATATCTCTTATCGCGAAGATTAGACGTGTTCTGGCCCCAAATGATGTCAGGGATAATGGACTCTGTGGTGTCTTGCCAGCAATGATGAGTCATCTTACAGAGATCTCAGACAATATAAGCTATACAACACTCTGCTGGCCTTTAATACAATTTATTGCCGGATGCACTGAGCATGACACTGACTCTTCTGTTTGTTCCCATGCACTACCATGCTCCTCAGAAAGCTCCTTGTCCTGGATCTGTCCCACTACATCCTCCATTAGAGCTTCAGCAACTACTGCAGGGTAGTTCAGCAGTTTTTAATCAGGGGTTTGAGATCCTGTAGAAGGGGGCCAGAATCTCTAATGTTTGCTTTTTTCTTTTAAAATCGTCCTCAGCCCCTCAGCGCTCTCTGATAATATATCACAGGAACCAAATAAAAAGAGAAATAATCTCCTGTGAATGTGCAGCTTGAGATGATAAAATCGTGTCATTTTAAGGCCTCATGAGACAAAAACGTTGAGAGAGTTCCTGACCTATTCTCCATTTAAGCTGTAGATAAACTGAATTGGCACATTTGAACACACAAATCTCATCTTTCAAACTAACTGCTATTTTCCTGTGCCACCCTCTCTTTCCAGTGAACAGCAGATAAAATGTGACTCCATCTGTAAATATTATGCTCCCCGGGTATGACTTGGAAGGGCATAGACCACATCCATTGCCACACACAAATAATTAACCTCAAAGAGAAGAAAACAGCAGCTTTCCCACAACTTGAGCTCACATGCGCATACACGTGTACTGAACCACAGAGCACATGGCACTCTGAGACCTGCCATCCTCCTCCCTTAAGACCAAAACAAACAGAAGCAGGAGAAGTGTGGCTGCTGGCACTGCCAGATGCTTGGTGTGGTGGATGAGGCTGCTGTACCGCGCCCCGGCCACAGGCTGTAAACACAGTGCCGGGCATGCATGTGCTGATCCTCTTGTACACAGTGTACACCAGGCAGAGGCCAGCAACCATGTGCTGCAGAGAGCATGCAGGGATCCCATTCAAAACAAACACTGCACCAGCTCATTTCACTACACAGGCTTCCCCTTTACTCTGGTTGAAGCTGTTTTATTAGTGACATCAATTAAATTAACATATAATATAAAATACTTTCGTCCCTCAAGAGCAATTCCAGGCAAACAGGGTTGGAAACCTAAAAACACATGTCATGTGGTGTGCTGTTTTCTTAGATTGATGGTACACTGCTGAGATTCCGAAGAACCAGGGACCTGTTGTTGCTACTGTTACACAGAATTTAGATATCTACAGAACACTACATGTCTATAATACAGAGATCTACAGAACAAAACTACCAGGGTTACAACTAACAGTTACTTTTATTTTGATAAATCCATTGATTATTTTTCACTTAAAGGACCAGTGTGTAGGATTTAGTGCCATCTAATGGTTAGGTTTCAGATTGCAACTGACTGAACATTTGTATTTGATGACCTGGGAATAAGAACAGGCTGTGAAGTGGTAGGAGAAACTATGGTCGCAGGGAAAATCGCAGAAAAATGCAAAAGTTGTCATCTCAGTTAATAAAATTGGCTGTCGGTGCTAAATGCAGGCTGTCTTTGTCTACCTCTGTCTGAAATGAAGGACCCATTGTTTCAACTGGCACACAACTAACCACGGCCGAACGAAGGATCATTTAAAGAACAATTTAATGGTCAGATGAAATTCCACAATCTATTCTTCTGCTATCTACTGTTACATGCACTGAATCCAACACGTTTTGCAAGTTTTCTAATGTACTCTGCACAGTATATTAAAGTTCTATCTAATAAAACATGACATATATTTTGGTAAGACCCAGCCAAGCCACCCCTGATCAAGTCTCAATCAGGTCCCTTTAGTTTAGCCCTTCCTCTCCCAACTTCATGTTTCATGTGGAAACATGTCAAACCACAAGGCAGAATTAAAATCTTTAATGGGAGCTGATTGTTTCGTGCATTCTTGAATGAAATGAATCCAGGAAATCCGGAGTATTGAAAAAACATTTCAAATACAAACTGTGTTTAAATTTGCCAGGGTTTTTTACTTTTCCCTTTGTTTTTCAGAGTGGGGTTCATACTGTTCTACACAGAACCGCTATCCATACCAGAGAACCCTTTAAAGTCCTTCATTTTCTGTGTGTACCCAGCTTCTTGGATAGGATTTGGTGGTGTGGTGGGGCGTGGCACGGTGTTTTGGCCAGTTGAGTCATTACCACAGTAGACTGAGCAGAGCCCTGGCAAGTGACCGCCAGGCCCCACTTCAAACGGCGTGTGGTGGCAAGCAGAGCCGGGATCCACCCTGCTGATTTATTAGGATACAGAGTCATCTAGCAGAAGACTGGAGCTGCTACTGGCCTTTTCAGCACTGGAACATAGAGGTGTTATTCTGCACTTTTATTGAGCTGCACAGTGTTCTGTCTGGACAATATACCCTGCTGCTTGGGAAAGTTCACAGAGCACAACATGTGAAATGTGCTCATTCAAAATGATGGTGCAGTCGTTGTACAGGGATGGGCAAAGGGTAATGTTTTCCTGGGAAAACAATTTTAGCTTTAAGATAGCAGTGCTTGTATTCCTCCCTCTTGCGAGTTCAATTCACTTTAAAAAGCCCATTTATCCTCTTTTATCTTCGTTTATCTTTGGTGTTCTAAAACATTACTTACTGTATTTCCTTCCACCTCTCTATCTCAGCCTGTATCAAATACTGTAGTTGGGGTAACATTATGTAACATAAGTCATTTTCAATTTCCATGTTATGCTGTCATTTTGTCATGTAAAATCATGTCATGGTATTGAGTCAAATCATGTTATATATATGTGTGTGTTGTTTCAATTTTATCATTTGTTTGCTTTGTGAAGTAAAGGTTTTTCAAACTAGGGTGGCAGCTGCCAACTGTATAAAATGCCTGGCCACTCCAGCTGCCACCCTGGTTTTGTGTCAAATTTAACAGATTCATTTAAAAAATAATGCTTTAAAAAACAGAAATTAATTTAATTATTGTATTTTTCTTATTGTATTATTAATGGTGACAGCTGAATATAGACAGGAAAGGGGGGCAGAGAGAGGGGATGACACGCAGCAAAGGGGCTGCAGGTTGGAGTCAAACCCTTGGCCACCGCAGCAGGCACTCAGCCTGGGTACATGGAGCACCAGGTGACCTTTCCGGGCACCCCAATTTATTAACTGTTATTGCCACATTTTAATAGAGTTTAATGAAAAAAGACATTGTATTTGGAAGAAACTCAAGATACAAAAATAAAATAATTTATTGATTTCTAATGCCACCTTTATATATTTCTATTCAATGCTATACTAATTTACCACAATAATTTAATGTTTCTAAGTTAATATATCTTTATTTTGGGGCTTTTCCAAGCAAATATTGATATGATTATTTGCAGTTAAATCAGCATATATTTCTGCCACCTGCTGGCCACCCCATGAATATTTATCTAGAGCAAACGCTGTTTTTAAAGCGGCCAGCACTTTCGGTCCATATCATGTGCCAAATACTAAATGCAATTTCATGCATCATTATATCAAAAGGCCAGTATTTTTCTTCTGTAAAGTGTCAAAATGTCAAGATTGTGCCATGTCCTATCACATTATGTGCTTTGCGTTGTTGCGTTGTATGGATGTCATAGGTCCTATTTTAAGGTTGCATGATGTCACTGTAATGTGATAAGAAATATCATCAAGTGTGTGTGGCATCATTTTACATCTCCTCAATTTTCTATTGTCATGTTACATTACTGTCATGTAATTTGACATGATATCATGTCATGTCAGAGCATCCTCCATTGTATGTGCACTTTTTCAATGAACTGACACAACGCTGCATTTGCTGCATGTAAATAGCGGCTGCAGTAAACTGTTAATGAAGTGCCTCTGAGCAGCTCATTACTTTTCATTAGTGAGAGGTGTCATGGCTGATGTCTTTGTCTGGAACAAAAAAACAGATTCCCACTGTGATGGACCGACAGCTCTTCCTTGTCGCGGTTAATTAAATTCCATCATGCTGAAGGGTTTTAGAGAGAGACAACTAGATAGAGAGGAGGAGGAAGTGTTGCTTGTCAGAGAACATTGTTATTCGACTGTGTTGCCAGTTTTTTGTGTCCAATCAGTTCGGCTCCTAAGACTACACATCTCTGGGGAGATGGTAGATATTTCCTGAGATAGTCTGAGTTTAAAAAAGAGGCTTATTTTCTCACTGCTGACCTCACCCAGCATATAGATAGAGAGAGGAGTGATGTCATGGTCTCAGCCTAAATTTGGGCACATCAGATGTCCCAGACCGGCCTGTTTCCTCAGATTTGAAGACATAGGAAACCGTTCTAAAAACAAACCTCATTACAGATGATAAAACTATTTGTCCCCTGCTTCTCTCCTGGGTATAATCTTTAAAGGAAAATCCCCCCATATATCATCCTCTTACATGGTGTACCATCAGTCATTCCTGTGTGAGGACTTTCAAAGGCGTGTTTTACAATTCACCTCTCTACTGTTCTCTCAGCCTGCCTCGCCCAATTCTACTCCAGCTCTTGATTTCCTGTTTTGCAAAGACCCCCAAACAGCATGACTAACCCTGCCTGAGCATTTTTACTTTTTTATACATGTGTCAGTGGAGAAAGTGACAATCCTGATAACAGACTGAGATGTCTTCCATTTGACAGATCAAGTGAGTCATGCATCCTACTTTAAATCTCAACCGTCTTGTTTGCATTCTAGTCTATATCTCTGTGTCTTTTCTATGAAGTTTTTCTTCAATTATGACTGTTGAATACTTGGGTAAAATAACAGCTGTAGAAAAAAAAACTGTTTCTCTACTCTTAGGGATAATGCCACCAAAGAGAGATCAAAACCTAATGGTTTTCTATCTTGTTAAACTGCAAATAAATAGCTGAACATAATATTTTCTTGCAAGCTGTAAACACAAAAGTGACATTATCACCTTGTTAGTGAACTTGTTAATAAACTGCTATTTACACATCCAGACAGAGCAACATTAGCCTTCATTTGGAGTCGTGTTTTTTTCGATTTGCACCACCTTCTGAGGAGAATATCTAGCTCTATAGCAGCTAAATGCTTAACAGTGTTCCCTAGCTAGTTGCAAACTTAGTGTTTCCTTTGGTGCTAGTCAGGTAGTCTACAGTAGCTTTATCAGAGCTATTCTGCAGAAAACAACAGCCTGCTGTGGCTGGAAATGGGGCCGAGGTTTGGTCTCCATCAAATCCTGAGGGACAAATTTCTCTCTTTAGCAGCTAATGCTTAACACTAATGTTGTCTGTTCATTGTTTGGTGCTGTGCAGCTAGCATACAGTGGGTTTATTAGAAGCCTTTTGTTTAGAAACAATGCTAATGAGAGCACTGAGACTGAACCAGAACAGTAAAGTTGTGGCCTGTAAAACCTAAACAATTAGCTAGAAGACGCTAAAACGCTCCATAGACCTGAGGAGAACTGCAGAGTCAGGTGATAATTCTCTGTGGTTTCCTTAATAAGAGTGACTCCTGTCACATTACACATAGTCAGTTAGTCAGTGGTTAACATAAAAATATTGATTAGAGAAGCTTTAACATCGGATGATGCATACATTTCCCTAACCCTAACCCAGGCAGTGTTACCACCATGCTCATCCCAGTGGGGAATGAAACCCCAAAAAACTTGAAGTTACTTTGGAGGAAAACCTCCTCCAAATTGGATCTGTCAGGTCATTCAGCAATTGTATTTGTCTACAAACTAGAAAATGCATGTGGAATGCCAAACTTTACCAGTGGACTTGAAATAAACAGGCAGTGTTGGTAGACTGAGTGAGTCAACCGCTGACTCCTGATGTTGTTTTCATTCTCCTGCCTGTGTTTGGTCTACAGACTAATCATGGTTTCAAGGCTCTGATGATCACGTACCATCAAGTCTGGCTACACCCTTCCCTGCTGACTTTCACCAAGATATGAAAAATATTATCAGAAGGGAAAGAGACTGAATCCAAGGTAACGTTTACACTGGATTGGTGTTTCAACATGCAAACCGACCAAGAACTGCTCTACAGATAAAGTGCCAGGAACATAGCAAATGTTTGAAATGAGGCATGTTTTCCGTCTATCCACCCACCTTTAACTCAACAGCCTTTCTAAAAATCCAAACTTTTGATTACATTTCAAAATACACAAGGACACAGTACATATTTAAGATAGACTTTGGTGTTTCGTGTTCCAAAATATGCTGGAGGAGCAACATGTTATGTATATCTTCTTGTCTTTTATTTTGCACTGTGCAATCTCACACAGAAGTTGAGGGTTATTCTGAAAACAAACTGACCTCGATGATATAGTCGTTGCCATCTTTCCCGTGGACGGCCTTCACTGCACAGATGTCTAGGCCACCAAACATCTCAGCGCAGGAGTCCACCCACAGCCGATATCTGGAACACAGTGGCACACACCACTGATAAACCAATAATTACAACCCAATAATCTCTGGAGATATCATGAAAGATGGACTGGACTTCACAGGGCTCACAGTTACATATAAACTATAATATTTCTTAGGACAGTTGCATTGTCAGCCTTTGTCAGTATGTTAAAAGTATGTAAAATTTAACAAAAAGACAGATGTCTTCGAGGGTATAAAATATGCAAAAGGTAGTAAACTGTATGAACAGGTCAGCATTTTCCCAGTGTACACAGAGTCAGCTCACCTGTCAGTCATTGCGATCTGTTCTAACATGGCAGAGCCCGTGTTAGCCTTCCAGTTCCCAGAGATGGACGTTCTCCTGCAAATCAAAGACGAAACATCAACAAATGAATCAACCCGCCTCCAGCTATTATGCTACAATGCTCAACCAAGTCTTAATCACTCACAACTCTTTATTGTGTAGCTGAATAGAAAAGCTCGTGGGAGAAGCTATCGTCAGTTCATCAGTGATGATGATTGCCATCCACACCTACATTATGTTTGTGTCAGAGGCATTTAAAGAAATGTTTTCCTGGTGAGGCCAGGGGAAAAATTAGATGAGATAAGGCTTGGCTACTCTGCCCCTCTGCATTTGGTCAAGTAATTGTTTAGATAGAGAGACTTGAAAGTTAAGAGGGTGTTGCTATACGCTCGGCCGAATTTACAGAACATGGTCTCTTGCGTCCAAATGGGTGTGTGGGTTTGAAGGACAAATGGGACCATGACTTTGTAAAAGTGAAGACAATGTTGATGAAAACTGCCTGGAATCTATCTTTTTTTATCCATAAATTTTTGAAAGAGCTCAATATATGATTAATATTCAATCATTTCTAGGAGATCTCTCTAATGCTTCTGCTTTACAGAGCAAATAATCCAAAAATAACTGCTCAGTTCTGATTATGTAGGTGTACATATTTTATGTGTTTTCTGGTGTTGATGTTGTTGTTATTGCTCTCTATATCTGGCCTAGTTACTAGTACTTCCTGATGGCATATAAAGGGTGTCACACCTGAAACACTGGCCTCATATTTTAATCTGTTCTGATAAAATGATGACTGATCTCCATGGACATGCAAATAAAAATGTGTTCTTGTTCTTACTATGCACTGTCTAATGATGGTTTTAAACTGAGTAAAAATGTAATTTCTATGTGACAGCCAATACCGATATCCCTTAATTAAATTTGAGGAATTGTATGATGCAGCACATCTTCCACTCTTCAGAATGTTGTACACTTAGACTTTATATTCCTGTCTTGCTTCTCTGTGTTTCCAGACTAAAATACCGTTTTCTCCAAACTAAGGGTGTGTTGAGTTAGCCAACTTGCTCACTCAGTTGCAGACTGTCTCATGTAATGTTATGGTGGGTACATGGTCCAGTGCAAGCCCCGCCTGTATTGCTAACTCATAGAATATGAGGACTACTATCTTTGTAGAACTGCTTAATTACTGAATTTATTTGTGCAACAATATTTCGACTATGGGCTTTAAATTGCATTATTTTATGGAATCTGGATCAGTGCTGTCAATCTGATATCTGATGTGTGAATTGCGTCAGTATTGGCACCAGATACCAATATTGGATTGGATTGGTCCCACTGCTATCCAATATAATAGCTTTATAGGCAGCTTCACTACATATGTAATGTTATCAGCCATCAAATGTGTTGACTGACCTGCTGTCAGATGTACAGTATGATTGTTTGAAACGTCTTACATGTATGCCTTGTAGTTGTTGCCGATCTTCTGGATGCGGATATCGTACTTGGACTGAACGTAGGGCTCGGTGGTAGCGTAGGTCCCGGCCAGAGCCACCACGCTGGTGATGTCCTGGAAGTCCTGTTGGTTTTCAACTTTGATCTGTGGGAAAGAAGCCACTTGTTAATAGAGTAGCTAATTAAAAAGAGCCGTCAAAGCTGGCAGTGGCAGCTTAGAATCCCACAGGAATTTCACGCTTGTACACTGGTGGGATAATGAAGGGTCATTGGATGGAAACATTGCCAGGGGCGGCTGTGAACTATGTCACCTCAACACCCATCGAGTGATTAGACTGTAGACACAGACTGAGGGGAAATGACGCAATGGGACACAAAACATGGCTCTTACATGAGATGAGTTTTAGATAATTAGGTAACGATGAGGTGTGACTTTGTAAAATAGGATGGAAACAAGTCCACAGTCAAGAACTGAACAAGCCCTTCAGTGGTAGTCCACATCGGCCTCTTCACCACAATTCCCAGGCACCATCTGTCATTTACACAGCCGTACTGATGTCTTCTTCTTTGGATTTTCTGTGGATGATAGGTGGTTCTCTTTTCTTTGTCTTATTTAACAATGCTGATACACAGATTTATGAGGTGTATTCTATCAGGTCATGGGAAACGGGACATGTTGGCAGACAAACTCATTAATCAGCAGCTTTGGTGTGCAGCGAACTGTCAGAGCTCAGTGTCTAACATGCAAAATGACTCAGTCCAGAGCTTCCACTCACTCATCACCATCCTTCTCACTGGTATCATCACAGTTCTACACAGTGGAAGTGGAGGGAACTGTGAGGTGCCATCATTAAAAAAACACAAACCAGATAGAGAATCCAGGAAGCCCTGGTTGTTCCTCTGGGGTTTGAACTCCTCACAATGTTTTGCTCTTCTGAAGGTGAGTTTAAGTGTAGTTTTAAGTGAATTTAATGAATGTAAAGGTCATCAACTCACTCCAAAATGGTAAGGAAATGTGATTGCAGTTGTCTTTTGTCTTAACTAGGCTTCATGTCCTTTATAAGGGTGTACAGGGTCACTAGTTTTGCCTCAGATGCTAATATACAGTAAGTTTCGTAAATACCTACTAAGTTGCGTGATTTAAGGTCTTATTTTGTAGAGTAAAGCTGCATTTTGAACACAGTGAGTACTATTTCACTGGTAGATCAACATATAAGTAATAGCTAAGTTGTGCCATATCTCATGTAAAAACTGTTGGAGTGCTACAGTAATAGGGATAAATATGGAGTACAGAATGGAAAGCACAAAAGAAAATTAAACACTTTGTGAGGTCTTGGGATTCAGTTAAATAATGCCGTGTTTATCAGGGTTTAAGTTTAATGCACTTTCACACAGACAAACCCTAAGAACCACTGAAACATAAATTCAAATTGTCCGGGTGGAACAAAGAAATCCCAAGGAGCTTTTAAAAATGATGCAACCCTCACCAAAAAATGAACAAGACAACCGACAGTGAGAAAACAAATCAAGCAAAACTGAGCCACAGCGAAAATGGCACCAAAACAATAAAAGCAAGTTAAATGTTTAAAAGAAGGGCTGGCAACTTTGATGGTTAATGTGGTCCAATAAACAGTGTTGCTACTTTGATGGGTAATAAAATGAAAATGCTTGTTGGAACCCACATAAAATGCTGTTCTACTGCAACTTAATCCATTAGTTTCTCAAATGAGTTTAGAAAGCAGCAAATATCTTTGATTTTCAAGCTGATAAAGTACATATAAGTGTCAGATAAACAGAATTGAAAGAACTGTTCCTCTTGTTGAAGCCAATAAAAAAACTAGTGCTTTAATTCTCACTGGAACAAGTTGCCTTCGATTTTTGATAAATTATAGAAAAATAAATAAACAAATTTAAAGATCGCAACTGCTTTTGCAATTTTTACTTTCTCCCACAATTTAATTGAAAAGAAAATTCTAAAAACACTGCAACACGCATTCGCAATTCCAGAAGGGACTGCTTTACTATACTACTTTACGTCACTCACTTGAGCATGCCTTGGAGTATGCTGGCAGGTAATTGGTAACATATAATTTTATAAATGGCATAAAAGTATGTGCATGTAATACAAAGTCATTATAAATGTGTGCATTCAGCTAACTTCGTTCATACTGTGAGTGTTGCTAACAGAGTGACGCACTGAGGCAGAGCACTGAACCTTGCCCATTTACACAAAGCGGGCAGAAGTTGAAACACCAAAATCAACTGAACGAAGGGAAGTGACTCACAGTTCACATCATGGCTCCAGAGGTAGAATCTGATAGCTAGTGGCAGGTCCAGCTCTGAGCTGGAAGCACGCAAATCCATCCAGAGAATTACGCAATTCCTCTGAGAAACTAAACAAACCGTAACGATGCAAACAGAAAGTAAAAAGGTAAGCCAAAGAAGGTGAAACACTGGCACTGAGATGAAGAACAGCGCTTGGTGGAAAAAGTCACGTCATAGTGGTGGTGTCCAGATTAAATGACAGAGCCTTACTGGTTTAAAAACACGTAATGGGAAAATTGGGATTAAAGCTTCACTCTGCTACTGATGTCATAATGTTTGTCAAATGAAAAAGGCCAAATAATTAGCCATATATAATTCACACAGGTTATTAGGATGTGAAAATACAAACAAAATGAAATAACCTTTTTAACCTTTCCGTGGGCTATTATTCTTTTTTAAATAAAAGCTTCATTCCCTTAAACTGACACTATGTAACTTTCGCAAAACAGTGGCCACCCTGGCCACAAGTGGTAATTACATTATAGTGGCACACTAAATTAAATTTCCAGGATTTTCTTGAGTCAGTTGCCTTAAAGACATCATCACTAGGTGACCTGACTGAGAGTGAACAAACATGTCTCCCAATGAGATAGTGTTTTTTTTTTTTTTTACTTTGATAAAACCATTGACAGGTTCATCTGACGCGATAAGCGCACTCCAAAAACACCAACAAAGTTGTTAAGAAAAGTAGTTAAGTTACCGAACTAAGTAATGTCTCTTATGTCTGAAGTTTGCCAACATTAGCCACCATAAACTAGTGGTCCTCAGTGTACTTTCTAAGACTGCAGAAGCAGAACCCCTGAATGTACCAAATTGAGTGAGGGTGTGTTTTGTTATAAGTTATAGGTTGTTTCAAAAGTTACATAATTTTTCTTTAAGGCCTAGTGTCTTAATTCCTGAATAAACTTGCTGACAGTAACTTTGGAAGAACAGTGCCCTTTGTTTTGTGCTATAAAGAAATACAGCAGCTAATATTTTAGACTTAATATAGTACCTTTACATTATATAGCTGTTGTTTGGGAAAGTAAATGTGGCATTAGCAAGCTAGAACTTCCAATTAATTTTCTTTGATCCAATTACCAAAGCATTACAAGTTTCTGTCAAAGGCAAACAAAACAGCAGTGACCTAAATCCCACATGTTCCTGTCCGTTCTCAGAGCTCTGTGAGGTCTGAGGTGTTAAACTAGGTCCTGCTCTACAAGGGCCTGCCAAATGTCCCTCGAGCCTTTTGGGAAATTCTATAGCATGTCTGGCTCCTGAACAGGAAACCAAGCCCATCCAGGCAGACCAGTCCAAAAGACAATCAAATGAATCCAAATAACTGGCGGGAGATGTGAGAGAGATACATGTTTGGGAAAATAAGCGTCTTTTTGCTGTAATAATAGGATAACATCATGAATGTGTTTAAATATATAAATGACAAAAGTGTAATCCATTCCAAAAACAAATGAGCCTCACTGCTCGATGCAAGAAGATAGACATCAGTCTACAGTTACTTCCAGTAATCGAGTAAGATCGTCTGAAGTTGTTTGTCAGCAGACTGTTGTGTAAGACAACATCAAGAGTGAAACTACCAGTGGACTGTACTCAGACCTTATCAGTGGTGTGTCTATCTGTGTGCTCTTCTGCCACTATAAACATCAGACATCTGCTCAGTGAGAGTAAAGCAGGAACACACTACACACTTTACAGCCTGATTATAACTGATTTGGTCATCATGATCCTGGTGAGACCGCACTATTGTGTACAAACTAGAATGATTTCTTGCTTTGTGTCTGAACATCAGACCAGTCAAAGATGTGGCCAATAATATCACACGTTTGATCTGCATGTGACTGAAATCTGAGCCGGTAAAGGTGGTAATACATTACAATACAATACATTAGTGTCAGATCTAATAGTAGGGTTAGGCTTCAAAGGGTTAGGGTTAGGGTTAGGGTTTAATTTTAAAAGTTGGTTGTGACAAAGATAAAAGATCATGTGTGTGAATGTTTTTGCCTGTGTTATTCAAAGAACTCACCTTTCCCATGCCAGCGTGGGCGTGCCCCATCTTGACCACCACAGGGTAGGTAGGAGTTGTAACCTGCAGACAAGACAGCATCAGATTATTAGCTTAGTTTGTATTTGCTTTCTTGGCATCTGAATATCATTCCTGTAGAAAGTGAGTTTCATGAAGTGCTAAAATAGAAAGGGCTGTAATTCTCAAGGCACCAACAGGTCGTTCTTTAAACATGCTTCAACCAATTTTATTTGGCTACTTGAGGGTAATGGAAAGCAAGCTGTGAACACACCACTGACATGTTATCACTGTGTTAAGTTGATAAGTTAGGGAACAAGTTAACAAACTGCTAATTATTTACACCTCTAGTGGATACAGACAAAATTAGCATCCATTTGTACTTTGTCTGGCCACATTATAAAAGTGTAATATTCACTCTTCTTTTATCTTCTGGTTTCTTTTAGGGATATATCTAGCTCTTTATTAATTAACACCAAATTCTAATTAATGCTAAGGGGCCATAAAACCAAAACAATGCTGAAAGATTCTAAAACGCTCCGTAGTCCTGAGGGTAACTGCAGAGTTGGTTTTAATTCTCTTTATACAAAGATTATTAGTTATTTATTTTTTATACACATACATTTTTGCAGCTTTAAATAAAATGGCAATGTGACAGAAAATAAATTTTAAATAGGGATTACGTGTTGAATGTGAAAGGTTCAGTGTGTAGGATTTAGTGGCATCTAGTCTGAACACTGCTCGCATCTGTATTTGACGACCTGGGAAATGAGAACGAGCTGTGAAGTGTGTAGGAGAGAAACTACGGTGGCCCACAAAACTCACAAAAAAAGCTTAAGGGACCTATCCTCAGCCTGTATTTGGTTTGTCAGTTCCGGGCGGGAAACATGGAGGTTCAACATAGTGGACCTGAGGCTGCAGATATAACCGGTTCATTCTAAGGCAACAAAAACACAACAATTCATATTTTCAGGTGATGAAACCATGAAAACATGGTTAAGAATATTATATATAATTTCTGCCAATAGATCCTCCAAAATGTTACACACTGGGCCTTTAATCCCACCCGCCTTCCAAGCGTGTAGGAGAAACTTGGGGCAAAAGGCCCTATCTAAATGTTACAAACTGTACCTTTAGGCCTGCTTTAACTTCAGGGTTGTTGGGAGTCAACTGTTTGAAAAAGCATGTCACACTAAGTAGGGACATTCAGAACTGTACTCGGTGTTCTAAATATACAGTAAGACAGACATGTGGTAAACACCACATTGAGAGACAACCATAACTTTCCTTTGCAACTGATTTGGATATGTACATGAAGTGTCCAGAACCGTGGCCTTGTAAAGAAATGCATTGGCTCTCATGCCATCCCGCTTAACTTAAAGCTGCCCAGTTTAGGACACACGAGGTGGAGTCGGAAGAATGTTGGTTTATTACACAAAAGAGCGAGGTTCTGGGAAGCTGGGTGGAAGACCACAGCTCATTGGGATGGGTTTGGACAAACCAGACATACCGCAAACATGCTATTTCTCATAGTTTGTAGAATTGAAGTGGGTGAAACATCAACAGATTACTTCAAACCTCCCTGTGGTTTAAACGCCCCTTGATAAATCCACTGATATGATTGTTAATGGGATATAATCTAAGAGGGACTTTTCCAGTTTCAAAAACACTTTCCCCACTCTTGTGTGTAATTTGCTCTTATGCAGCAATGCCAGTTTATGTAAGGGGCTCTTCAGTCTGATTAACAGCAATTATGATGAAAAATAAACAGTACTTTGTGATAATTTATTGATGTTTAAATACAAATACTCCCCATACACATACATTATCATACTACTATACATAACCACACAATATTTGCATGGAGCATTGCACTAAAATAATTGTCTCCCACTCCTTCAGTGTGGGTTTTCAGCTATACTTTAAGACAGATGGGTCCCCCGATGTTTTAGGAATTCAAAATGCTTTCATGTTCCATTTTCACAAAGACATGTACTTAGATGTAAGATTTAAATAAACATAGTAACAGAATATTTCCTGACAAGAAGCACTTGGCTAAGTCATACTAGAGATATAAACTCAAACTGCGAGGAGGAAGAAAACGCCTAAACAGCTGCTATCACTTTATCCACACCCTCCCCGACAGTTGACAGGACTGCACATCCTTAATGGTGCTGTCAGCTTGTTTTGCGCAGAGCCTTGAACAGACATCAAGCTGCTTAAGGGCATGAGTGCTTCTGTTGACAGGTTCTGACAGTATAGGCCTGCCCGACACGCTGCCAAGATAAAGTGTACTCTAATTGCTCCATTATCACTTCACAAGTGCCAGAATACAGAAGGTAGGTGAGACTGTAGTCCACTTTGTAATCCACTTCAAGTGATGTACTGTATGTATGAAGCATTTAGTAGCAAATGTGGTAAATGCCAACTGGACAAACATAGCACATTTATGGTCAGTTTTTTACCAGCAATAGCCACTTATGTATTCTGTAGATTATCTCTAATGTAGTTTTCATTGTTAGTGTCCACCATTATCACATAGGATCCACCATTATCACATAGGATTCAAATTGTCTTTACACGTACTCTAAAGCTCTGAAATTGACAGGATTACAACTTTAAAGTGCAGACTTTCAGTTTTAAGGGTGTCCAGATTTACAGAGTCTGAGAAACAGGGGCTAAAGTGGGCGCACTAGCCCATTTTTGTCAAGGGGTTTTGGGCAAAAATGGGTCAACAAGTCGTGAGATATCCTCCACCGGTGGACAGTCAGTTATCCAGCCTCTATCAAAGTGATCATGGTTGTCACTACTGAAGACCAGAATCTAGTCAAAAAGTCCCCGGAGGCTGCACAAGCCTGGCAGAGCGTCACAAGGGAAGATACTAAGTGCCTGCTGATTTCTTCACGGTCACAGTCTTCAGTCTGAACAGTCAGGGTCTGCCACTTAATATTAAAGGAACATAAAGTTTGTGGACTTGCAACAGACAGATGTAAAAGAAAATTGTCAAAATTGAAGCTGCAGAGTCTAAGATATCATCATTTTTAACTCTACCAGTTTTTACCACTATTACAACTAGCTGGAATTAAGTTGGCCTACAACAAAATGATGATCATAATACATATTTTAGTGTTTAGTTACAGTATGAGGCCAGTCAGTACAGCAGTTATGTATGTACGTCACATGACGAACGATAAGATGCCTGAGGTTTAGCAAGTGTCTGAGAAGAGCAAAGCAGGCGCACAGTGTGGGTGTCTGTTTGTCTGCTGGAGAGAAGTGCTTTGGGTGGAAGGGGCTGTAGCCACCCACTCTGTCTGGACATGTTCCTTCCAGTCATTCCCATCAGCATGGCAATGACGGCAGACGCTGAACATGTTGGGTAGAGACAACCACATCCTCTGCCTCGTGAGACGTGCGCTCACTGTTGTTTTCAGATGGACTCGCAGACCACAAGAAATGCACTGTCACTAATATTACAATATTACAAAGGGACAACATAAACATGACTGCCACAGTTCAAAAACATTTACAGTGGTATGTAAGCCATAAGGTAATCCCTCACATTTTGACAGCATATGAGCCAGATGGTCTGCAGGTACATTGTGGCTGTTCCAGACTCTGCATGTTGCTGTTTTAAAGTGACAGCTAAATTCATCATTCAGAAATATGAACTTTATGAATTATATTAATCAAATTGCTATTTTGACCTGTTTGACTCTTTTATATATTTTTAAATAAATAAGTATTTCTGTGTTCTTTGTAAAACATTCAGTAACCTTTATTTGGAATCTGCAATTTGAATAACTTTTCTTTCGCTGTTCTCTGTTGCAGCTTCAGAACAGAGTCAGAAAACATTGTATATCACTGCAACATTTCCCTCAGACATAACAGGGGCTCCTTTATGAGAAGAATCTTTATTTTACAGTGATTGATATTCTTTATGAGACTGTTCAACAAAGCAAGTTTCCGTCCTTAAAAAAGCCTTGGTGGCCATTAGCTCCTATGAGCTCTCAGATGTGGAAATTTTGGTTTAAAAATGCAGCTTTCTGTTTCATCCCAGCTGCATACGTGCCACTTGGCCTTTTGTTCCCAGAAGAAATCTGTAAAAGGCATTTAGTGTGTTAAAGAAGTTAATAAGTCACATGCTAAAAAAGTTAATTATATGGTGGGTGATTTCACCAGTCTAGGTTTTCTTTCGTAACACACGCCAGACGACCAGGCCTGGCACATGATGGAAATACTTCGGGGAAGCCCATCCACCCCCACACGCATCTTCTCCCGCTGGTTGTATGCAAAGCCTGTTGTAAGTGAGTCACATAGGATCGTCGCTCAGGTCAGCGTCAGAAGTGAATCAACTTCCCTAACTTCAAAACACCTCCATGTGACATTCCAATCCCAAAAACTTTCATTCTTAGTGGACTGGAAGTTTCCAGATACCACTGGGCACGTTTAAAACGCACCAGGAGCATAATTGAGGCACTGTATCTGATGTTCACATATTTGTAGGTCCAGACAAGGTGCATTTTTTTCAGCCGTGACTCATATTAAAACAACTAAAAATATCCTCCTAGCTGACAAAATGCAACATTTAGCAGCTGTTGTGAAGCTTTTAGTCACACCTTAAAATTTGAGCATTTACAATTCTATGACAACTTGACAAAGTCCACCCGCTATGGAAGAATGTGATATGCTCAAAAGCTCCAGAACAGCTACTAAATGGACCTTGTGGATTGTTCTGTCAACTACTGTTTCCCAGGTCAAACCACAGCTATCTCTAATGCAAATCTCCACAAATATAAGATGGATGAAATCACATCTTGATTTGACAATGGATTTGGAAATAGATTTAAGATTAAACCAAAATTCTAACGCAGCTATAGAGCTGATTAACTGCCAAAACAAAGCATTGTGGGAACATTCAGTTTGGGGATTTTCTTTTAAGTGGCTTTAAATTCTATAATCGGCTCTAATCCCAACAACATCAGATAAGATTAAGATAACTATGGTTTTAAAGCAGCATTAACTGATTTTTTTGGCCACTTGGGGCCATCAGACAACCTATGACACCA